CTGCCTCGGGCCATCCTATCCCACCATTGGCTCAGAGAATCTCCGAGACTTCCCTCCAATTGAACACAAACAGTCACAAGGTGGTTTACACGGTCTCACCCTATCTGAATCCTTCCCGCACACCCCTCCCCAGCCGGCCGCCCACGCTGGGTTTACTCTGGGGGGCTGTGTCTTAGAGCCAGGTGTCTAAAACTGGTCAGAAGTGGCTGCATCAGAGAGGCCAATGAGTGTCGGCCCGCCTGCCCACACCACCCCATGACGTTCCTGGGGCGGTGAGAGCCTCCGGGACAGGGGCGTCTGTGCACTGGGGTGAGGCGCACACCTGGGCCGTACAGCTGGGCCACCTCAAAGCCCACAGGCTCAAGCTCCTCCCCAGGGCTTTCTCCCCAGCAGCACCCGCAGCGGGGGTGGGGGTGGGGGAGGGAGAGACCAAGCCCCGGTGGGAAAGTGGACCATTAGCCCCCAGCCCGTCCAGGAGCCATGTCAGTGGGCCCCTCTGGCTCGCTGCCCCAGCCATGGCCTAACGCCCAGCCGTGGTCAAGGGCATTGGACCGTGAGTTCACTTCATGCATTCGTTCCCTGGAGATCTGCTCAGCGTTGGTGCTGGGGCTAGGGGATGGGAGACCCGAACTCGGTCTCAACCGGCACACGGTTCCTTCCCTTCTCAGAGATAGCAGGCTGTGCCAGCCCGGCACCCGGCTCTTTCTCTGGAGTCCAGGAGAGAGCCCTGGAGCTGCACAGCCCTCTGACCGAGAGCCCCTCCACAGCGTCTCTCCGCTGCCACTTGTCTGTCTGCTTTTGTGGGGTGTGTGTGTGTGTCTTTCTTTCTCTGGATTGTGGGGAGATGGCGCCTCCTGCTACCCAGCTTCAGACCTTCCCCCCTCGTTTCTTCATTCTTTTCACGAGGGAACATGCGTTTGCCAAGCACCCCTGGCCCTGCCCGGGCGCCTTTCTGAGAGGAGGAGGCAGCGAGAATAAGGGACAAGTCCGTGCCATGTGGAGCCGACACCCACTCGAGTTGGGGAGGGAGACTCAGACCAAATTCCCCGCCTCCGAGTGAATGCCGACTCCCCCAGACCCCATAGGACAGGGTAGAACG